ATGCTTTTTTTTTTCCTCTCTCAAAAGCTGTGTCAGCTTCAGCTGAGGATGGCATGAATTTCTCCTCCTCCAGTCTGTCAGTGTGTGGAGTCACACTGAGTGACATTCTAAGGTCAAGCCAAGCTGCAGTTACGGCATTTAGGTTGATAGCATGTCTTTGCTATTGTGAATAGTGCTGCAGTGATAATACACGTGCACACAAGATTATTCACTGTGGAAGACACGTGGCAATTCCTCAAAGACCTAGAACCAGAAATACCGTTTGACCCAGCGATCCCATTACTGGGTATACACCCAAAGGAATAGAAATCATTCTATAACACACATGGCAATTTCCACGAAAATCTCTGCTTGGATTTTCACTGAAATTGCACTGAATGTACCATTTAGAGAAAAACAATCGTCTTTACGACACTGAGGCTTCCATTCACGAACAGGTTACATCCTCCTTTCTTTTCTTTTAGGTTTTCTTCACTTTTCTTCATAATATCTTCCAGCTTTCTGTCCCAGACATCTTGTCAGATTTGTTTCCACATAGTTTAAGTTTCTCAGTGTCTATAACAACATTTGTAAGTGATTATTACTGTTTGTTTCTGGAATTCAGAAACAGAATCGGTTTTTGTATGTTGGCCTTGTGGGCAGCAATCTTGCAAATTCACTTGCTTTTAATGGTTTGCTTGTGAGTTCCTTTGGATTTTCTTCACATATAACCATATCACCTGCAAATACCGACAGCTTCGTTTCTGGTTTTCAAGATATTCAAGCCTATTTTTGTTTTTTTTTTTGGGGGGGGGTGTTGATGGAGTTTCGCTCTTGCTGCCCAGGAGGGCAATGGTGCCATTTCAGCTCATCACAACCTCCACCTCCTGGGTTCAATCGATTCTTCTGTCTTAGCCTTCCAAGTAGCTGGGATTATAGGCATGCGCCACCATGTCCAGCTCATTTTGTATTTGCAGTAGAGACGGGGTTTCTCCATGTTGGTCACACTGGTCTCAAACTCCCGACCTCAGGGATCCACCCGCCTTGGCCTCCACAAGTGCTGGGACTGCAAGGCTGAGTCACCACCTTCAACCCTTTTAAGCCTCTTTTCTTGCCTTGGTGTGCTGGGGCATCACCGTGAGGGGCAGCCATCTTTGTTACACTTCAGGGAGCAGCAGTGGGTGGTGGGGGCAGCTCTCTGCTTTCCATCCTTGAGAGGGTTGCTTGTTGTCGATTTCTTATAGATACCTTCGATCAAATGAAGGAAGGTCCTTTCTATTCCTAGTTTGCTAAAGGTTCTCTGAACCCATTTATGCCTGAGGTCACATACTGCTTGGCAATGACCTCAAGCAGTAGGATATAAAGACCTCCCACATGCTTAGCGTTCCAATAATGGAACATTAAGCAGAATTCATCATGAATTGGCATTGAATTTTACAAATTACTTTTCTGCATTTATTAAGAAAACCATATAGTTTAACTCTTTTGTTAGTGATGGATTACATTGACTTTTAAAATATTATACCAACCTTGCATTTCTGAACTCCACTTGGTCATGATACATCATCACTCAGTATCACTGGATCAGGCTTATACACATTTTGTTTAGGGTTGCTTAGGATGTTCAAGAGAGACACTGGCCTGGATTTTTTTTTTCTGTGAAACATCCTTGTCGGGTTTTGGTGTCAGGGTTATGCTGCCTCATAAAACAAGATGAGAACTGGGAGTCTCGCTTTTATTTTCGGTTATGAGGAAGACTTTAAAAAGACGGTTATTCTTTCTTAAACATTTGGAAACAGTGAAATGCTGAGCCTGGAGTTTTTCTTTGTGACAAGATATAGGTAAGATTGCCTGAAGATACAATCCTGCACGGTCTGCACACGTACCCCAGAACTTAACAGATTAAAAAAAAAAAAAATGATTTCCTAAACAAGTTTTTTCCTAGTAATCTGTCAATTGCATCTAACGTTTCCAACAAACATGACATTTTTGAGACAGCCTCAAGTCTTTATGTCTGAAGGGTTCACAGGTTCTGACATCGTCATTTGTGCCTGCCCTCTCGAATGTGACTAGTGTACCAGGGCTGTAAACGTGCACAGTCTTCTCAAAGAATCCACTTTGGTTTTATTGGTTGCATCTACCCTGCGCTCTGTGCCACATTTCATTCATTTTTCCTTGTCTTTTAACTTTCCTCTAACACAACTGTAGATGTATTCCCCCAATTCCGATCAATTTTGTCATTCAATTATAAATACCTTCATGTGTCCAGTTTTCTTTCTTATCTGACCTATGGGCTATTTGTTATTGAATTCCCAAACATTCAGAAATTTTCTACTTTTCTTATTAATTTTTGCCTTAATTATATTTGGTCGCAAAACACATTCTGCAAGCCCCCATCCTGTGGCACTGAGATGGCTTCATAGTCTGGTGGGTGGCAATTTGCTAAAGAGCATGCTTTCTATGCTGTGTTTCTGACGCATTTGTCATAGTGAATTGCACGGCCCTTGGCCGGGCACGGTGGCTCGCGCCTGTAATCCCAGCACTTCGGGGGGCCGAGGCAGGCGGATCATCTGAGGTCAGGAGTTCGAGACCAGCCTGACCACAACATGGAGAAACCCAGTGTCTACGAAAACATAAAATTAGCCAGGCATGGTGGCGCATGCCTGTAGTCCCAAGTACTCGGGAGGCTGAGGCAGGACAATTGCTTGAACCCAAGAGGTGGAGGTTGCAGTGAGCCGAGATCATGCCACTGCACTCCGGCCTGGGCAAGAAGAGCTGCCTCTTTTGGAAAGAGGAAAAGAAAGGAAAGAAAGAGAGGAGGGAAGGAGGGAGGGGCTGCATGCCCCTTCCAGCCTTTTCCTGCAGGGCAATACAAGAGTTTAAAACAATTCACCTCCCTTCTTCCATGTCCCAGGTTACACTGAAATGTTTTCCAGTATTTTGTTTGTAAAGTTTTAATAGAACGATTTATGTATGTTTATTATTCTCTCTGTCCAGGGTTCCATCTTGCTCTAGGCACCTCCCCTGGATTCATAATATTCCTGCTCTTGAAGAAAATTCCTAACAATGCCCTGTAAAGGAGGTGTCATCGGAAATGACATTTTTTTTTTTAATTTTTTTTGAGACAGGGTCTTGCCCTGTCACAAGGCTGGACTGCAGTGGCGTGATCATAGCTCACTGCAGCTCTAACCTCCTGGGCTCAAGCGATACTCTCAGCTCAGGAATCCAAGTAGCTGGGACCACAGATGCGTACCACCACACCCAGCTCATCGTTTTTGTATATTTTTTGTAGAGACGAGGTCTCACTCTATTGCCCAGTCTGGTCTCTAATTCCTGGGCTCAAGCAATCCTCCCACCTCAGCCTCCCAAAGCGCTGGGATTATAGGCGTGAGCCACCGTACCCGGCCTCAGTTATTATTTATAAATTTAAGTATCACATAATTCTTTATTTTTGTAATTTTGAGATAATTTATATACCAACAAATTCACCCTTTTAAGTGAAGAGTTCAGTGACTTTCAGTGCAGAACTACGCACACATCAGCACTAACTCTACAACGTTGTAATCACGCAAAAAGAAACCCCATGCCCATTCACAGTCACTCCCAATCCCTGGCAACCACAAATCTGTCTCTCTGCAGTTGTCTTTTCTGGGCATTTCACATCAATGGAGTCAAACAGTAGGTGGTCCTTTGCAAACGCCTCATATGGCGCAGCTCCTCGCATTATGGCCGGGCTGCAGCTCACATCAGTGTTCCGGCTTCATGTGACCCAGTGACGCCTCGTTCTTGGGAGAGCCTGATCTGTATTCTCCCTTTGTGTACTGATGGAAACCTGGGCTGTGTCTACCCTGTGGCTGCTCTGAGCCGTGCCGCTGGGCACATCCAGGCACAAGTCCATGTGTGGCGGCTGTCTTCAGTGCTCTGGATGGATCCCTACGAGTGGAACTGCTGGGTCCAATGGTAACGTGTCACCAGCATCCTGCATGACGGGTTCACCGAAGACCCAGCCCTGCGCCGAGAGCTCTCTCCTCCGTGCACCAGCAGGTTCCCCGCCACTCAGCACCCAGGGTGCCCATGCCTGGTATCTGGCTTTCATCCCATCACAGGCACCTGTCCTTTCTCTCTGGCTGCCATCAAAATTGTCTTTGCCCGTGGTAACGGCACGTGTCTAGGCAGATATCTCTGTTCATTTCTTTCTCCTACTTGGGGTTATATAGTCTGCTTCCTGAATCTTTTCAATGCCTCTTCCTCCTGTCTTCTTCATTCTCTCCTGGGATTCCAATCAGACACGTGTTGATCTGACTGTCCAAGCCCCGCCTCCCACTGGCCCTTTCTCACGTTTCTGTCTCCTGGAGAGTGACCAAGCTCCGGTGATCTCTAAGGAGATCTGAGCCGGCTCCCTACAGTGCCCATCCTCAGAGGTGGCCCCACCACGATGAAGACACTGAACCCATGAGCACAGGAGCAGCGCATCCCAGGCCGTCATCCACAAGGGGACCCAGCCCAGGATCCTGACGGGGTGAGGCAGGCTGGAACCATGACCGTCTGGATGGCAGTGCAGAACTCCTCGCAGAGAAAGCACAGAGCGACCCTGCTGTAGGTCAGTGAACACGGCTCCAGGCAGGCCCTTCAGCAGCCCCTAATGTAACTGCCACCAACTGGATGGTATGGGTGAAGCAGGCTAGGCCCAGCTGGTCATAAGGGATCCAAACTGCCTCTGGCACTTCTCTTTGCAGCTATTTTCTCTGCCTTAAAACAATGTTTAAATGGGAAAGCCTGCCTCTGTGGCTGCAACTTTCTCTAGAGATCCCAGGGCTGTGCCTTCTGGGGTGGGCAGAGGTCTGTGGTTTATGAGAACAGGACATTCCACAGCTGTGTCCCAAACCAGCTTTCCCCTGGAGAGCTGCTGCGACATGGAAACAGAACTCAGACTGTCCTGGGGTGGCCACACCTACTGTGTGCACAGCGGAGACAGCAGCTATGTGGCCTGGTCATGCAGGGGGAAAAGCGTGAAGCTGCCATGGTCATAAATACATTTTATTTCATTAGAAATGCATAATTACAGTGTTTGACAGCACTTCCCCTAGAAAAGTAGGTCAGCAATACCCCATCAGAACGAGAACTGGCTTTGCAAACACCTGTCTCCTGACACTCAACAGAGCACACAGCAAAGGGCTCCTGCTACTCCCCTGGGATTTTTTTTTTTTCAAATTTTCTTTTTTGTTATAAACACCATAGCAAATTAAAAAAAGCTGTTTAAACAGAAAAATATCATAGTTCTTGATTTCCCGCGCATAGGCGACGCTCTCCGCACTGCGCCTCCCCTTGTCCACCTACACCGACAGCACGACTCAGGCGAAAGGGGTCTCCGGCTGGGGGCGGGGCTGCCGCTCTTTTAGTGGACAGGACGCTTCTCCCGTGGAGGCAGCAGCTGTCAGACACGCTTCAGCAGAACCCGTGCAGTCGCTGCCCGTGCTGAAGCCGTAAGAGCGGGGCGCATGGGGGCCGGACCATGGGCGGAGCCGGCGAGGGGCTCCTGGTGTTGTGGGCACTCCTGGTGCTGTGGGCACCGCTCACTGGATCTGGATGGCCCCGTGCTCCAGCTGCATCTCTGGCTGTAGTGTGGGCTGCAGTGCCTCGGCTGTCTGCAAAAGGGAGAAAGGAGGGGACTTTCTAGAAAAACAACCAGTACTGCATAGCCTGGGGAATCATCAACAGCCAGCGACTTTCAGGCAGAAGACACACAGCGACCGGAGCACGAAGGAGCCCTCATGGCCCCAAGGCTCACCCAACTTGGAACAGAACGCACCTGGCTCCCAGCGGAACGACGCACACAGGACCCTGTGCCCAGGGCAGCTCTGGCACACCCAGGCCCCGGCCCCCTACCCACGTGGACTCTGCCACCCTGGCCGGCTCCTGCTTCTCCATCTTACTGCCTCACTGGGAAGTAACCCAGAAGCAGATGACATCCTGCCCTCCCAAAGGCATTTACCTGGAGCCTCAGGTGCCATTCTGCCTTTCTATAAATCCCATTCCAATGCTTCAACAAAGTATTTTCGGGGTAGCTATGTTCCTTGCCTCAAACATGTAAGTTCTGGTCAGTGAGTTACAGATACTAAAAGGACTTCAGGTACACGATCACAGCTTTATCTTAAAATAAGTTAAAGGAGGCTGGGCACGGTGGTTCATGCCTATAATCCCAGCACTTTGGGAGGCTGAGGTGGGTGGATCACGTAAGGTCAGGAGTTCAAAACCAGCCTGGTCAGTATGGTGAAACCCCATCTCTATAATAAATACAAAAATTAGCTGGGAGTGGTTTTGCACACCTACTAGAGAGGCTGAGGCAGAAAAATCACTTGAACCCAAGAGGCAGAGGTTGCAGTGAGCTGAGATGGTGCCACCATTCTCTAGCGTGGGCAACAAAGCCAGACACCATCTCAAAAAACCATAAATAAAAAATAAAGGAAAAATATGTAATGCTGGAATAAGTCACTCATTGTCCAGCTCAGCCACACGGGAACATGCCCCAAGTGGAAGCAATCAGTCTAGGGCTTCTGTGCACACTCCTAGAAGCTTCGGCTGGAGGGCTGGGCTCAGCAACCACAAAGGAGGAGGAGAAGCCACGAGCCCACAGCCGAGCCCACGGCCGAGCCCACAGGAGGCAGAGGCCGGACGACTCCTACTACAGTTAAAGCTCTGCTTTGTTTTGTTTTAGTTTTTAGGGATAGGGTCTTGCTCTGTTGCCCAGGCTGGAGTGCAGTGGTGCAAGCACAGCTCACGACAGCCTCGATCTCATGGGCCCAAGTGATCCTCCTACCTCAATCTGCCAAGTAGCTGGGATGACTGGTGCACACTGCCACACCAGGCTTTTTTTTTTTTTTTTTTTTTTTTTCCTGAGACAGAGTCTTGCTCTGTCACCCAGGCTGGAGGGCAGCAGCACAATCTTGGCTCACTGCAACCTCCACCTCCCAGGTTCAAGCAATTCTCCTGCTTCAACCTCCCGAGCAGCTGGGATTACAGGCACCTACCACCATGCCCAGCTAATTTTTGTATTTTTAGTAGAAATGGAGTTTCACCATGTTGGCCAGGCTGGTCTCGAATTCCTGACCTCAGGTGATCCACCCGCCTCAGCCTCCCAAAGCACTGGGATTACACGCATGAGCCACCGCGTCTGGATGAGGCTGTGCTTTTTCAAGACAAGTGTCAAATGACACTCGATACAGTTTCCCCAGATGGAGGCGGCGCCTTCCAGGGTAGGGTGAGGGGCCAGCACAGGGACTGTCTCCTGAGAGCCCGGCCATAGCCGGGAAGGCCTAACGGGAAAGGCCTCATGGGAAGGGGTGAACCTGAGGTGGAAAGAAGGAGCCATGTCAGGGCCCTGGGGTGGATGGCTTCAGGCCACAGGAGGCTGGGGTAGGAGGGCCACTGCCTGGGATGCAAAGCCCCTTCCCCTGGACAGCCAGAGAAGCAGCTGGGGGCGCGGGTGCATGGGGACAGTGGGGCACAGGTCTGGGCTGACCAAGAGAGACACATTTGCCATCCAAGGACGGTGGCCGGCCTGTATTCCAGGCAGAGGCTGGTGGAGGCAATGCCCCTGCTACAGATGGCTCAGAGAGCCTGTGACACCACAGGCCACCCCGCATGAAGATGTGTCTTCCCCCACAAATGGCACCGCCTACCCTCCCATCCCACAGCTCCAGGGAACAGGCCCACGCTCCACTTTGAGGACTGTCCACCCCCACAGGCACCCACTTGCCTTCCCTCCTAAGGGCACCCCATCTCCTCAGAGCCAGGCCCTCACAGCCGAGCCACAGGTTTTCCTAGCATTAGCTCATGTGTGTAACTCTGCTCTGGCCCACGGAAGATGTAAGGCAATTCCTGAGCACAGCTGGGAGTGGGGGCTTCATGTGGATCATGAGACTCAACCAGAAACCCGTCTCTGTTGGGTGCAGTCATGCCTGCAGGGTCGCCATGAAGGCCCTGGGTCACTTCCTAGTGAGGCAGAGCTAGGGTGAGGACAAGTTGAGATGGTAAGGCAGGAAGCTGGGCCCTTGGTGACGAGCTAACACAACCTGCAGCCGCCACGCCTCCGACAGGCAAATCCAACCACACTGGGGTTTTCTGCATCAAAAGCAGCGCGGTAAGCAGGTGTCTTCCTTAGCTTTTAAGATGGATCCTAATTAGAGCGTTCACATGGGACCTGCCAGGGAGGCCACGGTGACAGAGAAAGCTTACAGGAAGCTAGGGGTGTAAAGACCAACCGTGGGACACAGGTTTCTCCAATTCTGAAATCTGAAAAGTGACCAGAAATTCAGAATGCAGCAGGATGCTGAGGCATGGCCCCGCGTCTAGATGCCCAGGCACAGTGTCTCACACCCTCCCGCAGCGCTGCCTGGAATGGCACGAGGGGCCAGCAGGCGTCCCTCAGCATGAGCCGAGGCAGGCGGGCCTGGACTGTCTTCACGGACAGGTCAGGTTCACCCCACATAAAAGCAGCACTGCCCAACGAGTTCGCCTTTGCCCCCTGCCCGTCTTGTGCCCACAATGTCCCTTCATGTGCTTCGGCCCATCTCCAGCAGGGTTAGTGACAGTGTGGAACTTAACAAAATACAGACTACAGGGCGGGCCCATGCAGGGGCACCACACCCATGGGCAAAGGATACAGGGCGGGCCAGTGAGGCGGGGGGGGGGGGGGGGGCGGGGGGGGGAACTACACCCATGGGCACAGCAGGAAGGCTCAGCAGGAGGAGGGGGCAGGCCTTCTACAGAACACAGGTCCTTAAACTCTAGGCCTGCAGCTGTCCCGTGGTGACTAAGAAGACATGAGTGTTGGGTGAGCATGGACATCACATGGCTGCCGCAGCTCAGGGGCTGCAGAACTGCCCAGCCTGGCTACCTGGTCGCCCTGGTGAGCATGGGCTCTACTGAGCCCATTTCTTCAGCAAGCACCTCCTGAGAAGGACCCTCTCCTCCAGAGGGCTGAGGAGCACAGCTGCCCTCAGCAGTGCCCAGCGAGCGGGAAAGGCTGCTCAGAAATCTAGGATTTTCATTCTGAGCACTGAAAGTGGATGGCATCAAGACCGAGGTGGACCACCAGCTCTGGGGCCACAGAAAGGACAGGAACAGACCCAGAGACAGTGGCCAGAATGTTTCAGAAGGGCTGGGCAGCAGCCATACTAGCCTGGAGGTAGAATGAGGACAAGGCTCTGGCTGGGCACATTCCCAAAGCAGGAGGCGCGGAGGCTGCCGGACACAGGACTGCCGTCTGTCCCCTGTATTCAAGGAGAACAGCAGCCCATGGCATCACAGGAGCTCTTGTCTGGGCCTCGGCCATGCTGGTGATTTCAGCACAGCCTCTCCCTCGTGAGCTCCAGTCGGCAAGGTCTGGAGATGCTGGCCTGAGCCCACCAGGCCATCCACAGAGCGCAGCAGCCCTGGGCTTTGCATGACAGCCCAAGGCACTGGCTCAGTCCCAGGCTGAGACCTTCAACAGGGACAGGGAGTTCTCGGGCTGATGGGGCCCCCACGCTCCCCAGCCCACAGGACAGGGCAGAGCTTCACTTCTCCTCCTGAATTTACAAACATTTCCACAGGAGAGTCTCAAGCATCAGCTGGAATTTGGAACTGAAGCAGGATCTACCCTTTCTCTTCACGTTCATGGTGCATGTGAGACGAACCCTCATACGGGCATCCGTGTCCAATCACACACCTCTCCTGATCACGTGCCCTCCACACAGAAGGAGGCATGAGAAAGCCCCGTGGCCCATCACTGCACAGTGTCCCGGCGAGTGGCCCCAGACTCACCTGGGCTCCGGCTGTGTGGTCACCTACCGGCGCCAGCTGCACATACTGAACCTGGATGTCGCTGCCCTGGAGTGGCGACCCGTCCACACCCGCCGCCGCAGGATCTGAGGAGGCCACGGCGATCAGCTGGGCGCCCTGCAGCACCTGGAGAGACATGGGGTCCCGTCAGCAGCACAGCGCACGACCCACACGGCTCCGGAGACCACAGACCCCAGACCGCAGGCGCTGTCCCCGGAGTGACAGGGACACTGAGGACTCTCAGTGCATCCCGTCTCCCCATCACTTTCCAGTCGTCCTGGATCCAGTGAGAGCATGCCATCAAGTCTCTGCTGCACCTGCAAGCTCCCCTCCTCCGAGCACCCAAAGAGCGGACAAAGGGGGAAAAGCAGCAAGGCAGAGCTCCCAGAGAGCAAACACCAACGCCATGGGGCCTCCTAGAAAAATCCTCACAGCAACCACAAAGGGCACAAGCCCTCTCACACTGCAGTCAGAGCTAAAATCTAAGCCAGGACCATGAGCGTGAGGCTGAGACCCAAACTCTCTCCATTCCTGAGGGTGAGCAGCCTCGAGGGCTTGGGGGCGCAGAGAAGCTGTTGGTGGGCACTGAGAACCCAGCTCCAAGAAGGGCGGAAGTGAGTCCTGGTGGCAGAGAGCCCGGCTGGCCCTACCGACCCTGCACTGCCTCCCAGTGTGTGGGACGAGAATGGGGGACAGGTGAGGCCCCTGGGTGGGCTCTGGTGACCCCATCGCTTGTGAGCACCCCGGTCCATTTCCCACCCAATCCGCTGGGTGCTCCAACAGCCAGGCGGGCAGCCCCAGGACCAGAATGGCCCAGGCAGCAGGTGGGCAGCCCCATCTCTGAGGGCACTGGACATGCGCCGCGGGCTCTTCACTTCAGGGGTTGCATCCCACCCTGGAGAGCCAGGAGATCCACCTCCACCTTACAAACAACCTCACGCTGTGCACTGAGTCTCACCCAATGACCCCAGGAAGAGCTGCAGCCCCTGTCGCAGTGCACCCCACCCCATGGAGCCTGGCCACAGCCGCCCTCCCATGGGACCCGCCCTGGACACCACACCACACACAGAGCCAGCATGGGCCCCGCAGACACGTTGCACAGGCAGCCAGGACCAGACCTTTCAGACTTCACCCACAAGTGCTTCTAAAAACAGTTTTGCCTCTAAGCAGAGTTCACCTGCAATGCTGGAAGACAAGCCTTTTCAAACTACAAAGCATATTTACCCTAAACTGAGGTCAGCAAATTGCGGCGCCAGATCAAACCTGCTGCCTGCTTTGTACCGCTGTGAGCTGAGAATGGCTTCTACGTGATTTTTAATGACAGCAAAAAAGGCAAAAAACTCTTTTGTGCCGCATGACAACTCCAGGAACCTCCATCTTCAGTGTGCACCTACAGGCCCGCAGGCCCCCATGCGCCAGTCGGTCACGACCCGAGGGCCATGCCAAGCAGCTGAGACGGAGACCGGGTATGCTCCCCAAAGCTGAGGACCCCATCCCCCTGGCCCTTTACAGACAAGCCTGGCAACCCTGCCCACTACTACCTGCGAGCACGCCCACCTCGGGAGACCAGCAAGCCGTCAGAATGACCCCCAGGAACAGTTGTCCTTCTGCCTCAGGATTTTGTCTCAAACAGACAGTACACAAGAAGGAGATGGCCAGAGTGAGACAACTTGCTGGACTCTGGGGTTCCTTGACCCGAGGGCCCCTACTGCAGAGGCCCTCTGAGTCCAGGTATCAGACACCAGCCAGGCATGGTCCCAGGCTCCATTCCCTGTGCAGCTGGCCCTTGAACACCACCAGGGTTAGAGGCACTGAACCTTGTACAGCTGGAAGGCACCGACAGCCTTTGACATCCTGAAATTTAACTAAGAATAGCCTGTTGACCCAATGGCCTTACCACGCCAGTGAGCAGACATTCTATGTGCTAAGTGTACCATCTACTGCGTTCTTCCAATAGAGGAAGCGAGGGAAGACGCGTATGCAGAAAAGCACTGGGAGGAGGAGACACGGCTGCTGTCCACTAAGCGGAAGTGGATGGTCATCGGGGTCTTCATCCTCACCGTCTTCACGCCGACTGTGGCTGGGGGAGGAGGGGGAACAGGAGGGGCAGGCCTTGCTGAGTCAGGGCAGCAGAGGCGGGAGAGACGGAGGAGGTGGAAAAGGAGGCGCACACACTCTGTCTCATTGGTATTGAAAACAAGCCCAAGTATAAGTGGATCCTCATAGTTCAAACCCGCATTGTTCGAGGGTCAGTTGTGGTCTTCTTCCAAGGCACAAGCGTCAGTCTTTGGTGAGGGACAGAAAGAGCGGAGCGTTGTAAGTGCACGCACTGACATCGGAGTGCTGACAATGGGGCTGCTGGCCCTGGGGTCCGGGTGCCATTTACGGATGAGAGAGTGGGGCCTGGGCAGGGTGGGGGCGGTTTAGGGGCTGGGCTTCCACCGCACAGCAGGTGGAGGCAGAGTCCATGCAGGAAGCACCCGGGTCCCCGAGGCACTCTCCTGGGCTGCCACCACCCACATTGGAGCATGATTACCGTTCGCCTCCCTCCAGCCTCCGTCTTTTTGAGAGGGAAGGAGAGGGAAGGCAGGGACTCTGTGAGGGGACCACTAGGGCGTGGGTCTCTACCGGTTCTTAGAACATACAGCCTGTGGTTTTAAAACAGCACTCTAGTTTTTGATGAGCTAAAAAAGCCTTAGATTTTTTTAACAATGAATTTATCAGTAGGAAAAAAAAGCAGGTCAATGAGGTGAGTGAATGGCTGGCAAGAACTCCATCTTTCTGCTGACACAAAGTAAACCATGTTGAGAGTTGCTGGTGCGCCGAGGAGCGGAGCGTGGGACACAGCTGCCCCTTCCTGTCATTTTTACAGGCCCCGAGGTCCCGCAGCCACAGCACACTGTTCAGAACCCAGCCTGGCGACGACCCACTGAGGTTTCTGGACTCTGCGTCACAGGACGGGACGAGCCCACTGGAGCACCCTCCATCTGGCCTGGGTGCAGGGGCAGGAGAGCAAGTCAGTCCCTGTCAGCCGCAGAGACACGGGCTCAAACCTCAAGGCTGGGTACAAGGGCGCCCAGGAAGGTGGAGGCCCTGGAAAGAGAACCTTCTCAAGGAAGTAAGGGAGAGGAGACGTTCCTGCCGATGTGCAAACCCAGCAGTAACTTTTCAGGGATGCCGAGGGCAGCCCGGGCAAGGCAGCAGCTGCGAGGGGCTGGTGAGAGTGGTTCCACACTAGGCTCCACCACGCGCCCAGGCAGTCGCCATCCCGGCTGGTGCCGCTGGAGGTGGCAGCAACCACAGTGCTGGGCTCTGATGTGAGTCCTGCACAAACTGTTTCCTGCTTGAGATGGCACAGGCACGCTCCTGGCCTCGAGAAAGTGCTGGGAAAGCATCCTCAGGGGCCGTCCCAGAGGTGCCCCGGGCTGCGAATACAGCCAACTGACTGCACCAGTGTTTCCCAACTCTTCCCACCAGGCCGAGGCCCTGAAAACTCCTGACTGGCAGGAAATGGTCTGTGCAGCGCAGGAACCTGACTGGTAACTCCTGAGTGCCCACCCACCTGCCTGCCACTCCACGACAGCAAGGAGACCCTGGCACACACCCAAGGTTCCCAACAACCAGGTGACTGCCAGGAAACCCAAGCCTGGGGTAAACAACAGAAAAGCACACAGCAGGCCCGCACCTGCTCCATCCCCAGCTCCCGGGAGCCTGTGCCACACCAGCTGAGCTCTGGGGGGGCCACAACAGAGGGCCTAGTGCATGACACTTTCCATCTTTCTTTGGGCACCTGTCCACCCAGCTCTAAACCACGTGTGAAACGAAAAAGCAGCTCATGGCCACATGCAAAGCAGCACCGCCCAAGCACCTCCTCACCCACCACACACGCTGCGTCGTGGACTGATGAGACACAGAGGTGGACAGCGTGGGGGAAGGCGGGTCTGTCAGGGACGGAGTGGGCACAGACACAGCGGACGCTGCGCTACGTGGGCGGCCCCATGCTGTGTAACTGTGGAAGCCAACGCTCAGCCAGGAGCTTTGTTGGGCCCCTCGTCTCAGGGTGTCACCGGGCAGGAACGACAGAGCGAGGATGCTGACAGGTTGGGGTGGAGACTGGGGTTCACCCCAGGGTGGAGCAGGGCAACGTCAGCGGGATGGCGGCAGCCCAGGGCAGGGGTGGCCAGAGCCTGGCAGGGTGAGCACCGTGGACCCCAGGAGGGTCAAACACTGGGGAGTGGCTCTGAACGGGGACGGCAGCAGCTGATCCGCTTAGATTAGGGAATAAGGCCAAAGAGGAAAGAAGTTTCTGCAATTCTGGCACAAAATATCCACAAAGTATCTCAAATCAGGTTTGAGCAGTGGCAGTATAGCAGGTGAGGTGGGGTTGGCCTAGAGCCCCTCAGGACACAGACCCTGGGTCTCGTCTAGGGGGCATGTAGCAGGGCGCAGGGTCACAGCCTGGTTCCAGCTTGAGTCCCCTCCCTGAGAGAGGCCCTAGCGCAGACGAGGTGTGGGTGGGAGCCGGTCAGCATGGGATGAAACACCTGGGGAGACACTGGCTGGGGGCCGAAAGGCTGAACAATGGTGACACCCAGCACCCAGCCCCGAAGCTCTGGCCCCCTCGGTCCCATGACACCGGCCACTCACTGGCATCACAGCCAAGAACACACTGGTGCGTGGCAAAGGACGTCAGCAGCCTTGGCGTCCCCCACACGCCTGGGCCCTAGGACTGTGTCGCGTGCTGTGTGTCCAATACTAATTAATGAAAAAGAGAGTAAGCATGCATTCCTAGAACTGGGTTTCCAGGCAAGTTCAAAACTCAGCAAAGAATCTGCCTGGGACTCCCATCCACAAGTGTCTAAGCCGCTGTGGAAACGTGCCCCGGCCGATGGCTCTGACTCTGCTCGACAGTCACCCGGCCTTGCATAGCCACTGCCGGCAGCGCTTCCCGCCCCCCGACCCTGCCCTGGAAGACCCTGGAGTCTCCAAGGGAGCAGGAGCCGGATTTGGAGTCTCCAAGGGAGCAGGAGCCGGAAGAGGCCGGCACCACGGGGAGCTGGGTTTTGAAGGCCGACAGCAAAGACACACACAGGCATCTAGGGCCTCTCTGGAAAAAAAAAAAGAAA